TCTTTCGGGGGATTCCAGCGTTGCGAGTGTGTGTGCACCGTATGAGCATTTGCGCTTGACTACATGTTTGGAGAGATTATTCTGAAGGAGAGGACATATCATTTTACTGTTAACACTCATAAACACACAACATTTTCCATTAACACACAGGCTTTTTAGTTCGCCATCGTACTATTTGAGGTATCTGTATCCTCCATCAGCTCAGCTATACAGGATTATGTGTGTGTGTGTTTAACAGATGTAATGGAGAGCGTGTATGTGCAAAGCAGCGGTTCTCAGCTGGTGGGCTGTTCAGGGGTGATATAAATAAATGTCAAAGTTTGATTTTTAGGACACTTTTGTTACTCTTATACATTAAACAATTTTGGTTTGGTTGCCATTTGATGTCCATTGTAAAGTCTGGGTTCTGATGCAACTTTTAATCAGTTTAATGCATCATTGATGTAAAAAAGTATTAACTTCTTTTAATACGTCTTTCTTTTTTTTTTCTTAGGACTTTCCCCACAAAAGAAGACTTTTTGTGGTCACACTGAAATACTAAACAGTGATTTCAGTTTCTCTGTCACAGACACCTCAACAATTCCATTTCTGCACAGGAAGTAATTCTCACAGAGGAAGGTGGAAACAGGAAAACAAACTTCTTCCTGTTTGTGGAAAGATGGAGGGATGCTGATAGAAGGTCGGTAAAGTGGTCAGTGGCTGGGAAGCAATACTGTACTTCCTCAACATGCCTTCATACACTGACATATTTAAAGAAATAAAGATTCTTGAACAGACAACATAGTTTTTCAAAATGTCTTGTAAAATCTAAACTTCCTATGTGTCCACACACATGTGTGTGTGTGTGTGTGTGTGTGTGATATAATCAGTATGTGATCTGATGGTTAGCATTCCTCTGCCCACTATTTAGCTTGTCCCTTCATGTCCCAGTGGAGGAGATAAAGGCTATTTAATTCAACAAGCATAAAAAAGAGTGAACACACACACACACACACACACACACACACACACGCATGCATGCACACACGCACACACCCCCACCCACCCATGCACACATCAGAAGATCTAAACCCAACATAGTTTTTTCTCTCTATTAAGCTGATAAATGTTAGTTTTGTCTAGTTTCTCCTTTGTTATGTCTGCTCTCACATTTAGCATGCATCATAGCATAACATGTTTAAAAACATCTGCATTCTCAACCCTGTTAGAGAGAAGAAGTTCTGAGAAAATGCTTTGATCTGCACGTGTCTCTTACAGAAGCTGTGAGTGAAGACAGTGGATGTCTGGGAAGAGTGAAAATCAGTATTAACACTAAGCTAAAGCTTCTACTTTGACAAACAATCAACATTTGTAACACATGCCAACAGCATGGAGCCAATCCACTCACTATTCCTCCACTTCTGTTACAACAGGAAGAACTAAAGAACACAAATCAAATATCACTTCGATGAGATTTCAGCTTTAAAGTCCATGTCTTTTTTTGCTTTGATGTCATTTATATGCTAGAATACTCCTAAAGTTTTAGATACGCCTGTAAAATTTGAAGTATTTAAAAAAAAATCTGGTATCATTTTGAACTCATAATGTGTACAAGTTAACCAACTGGTAAAGTTAAAAATAAATTTTGGTAACACATTAAAATAAGACTCCAGTTGTTAACAGTAATGTAAATTTCAGCATTTATTAATACATAAATACATTATATTTGTTAATGTTATTTAATTGACCTGAGCTAACATGCACTAACATAAAAAATACTTATAAGTTAATGACTTTTTCATCATTTATCAATCCATTATTAATTTAAAGTTGTATCTGTTCATATTTAATGGACTCGAGCTAACATGAAGAATGAACAGTTGTATTTCTATCAACCAATGTTAACAAAGAAAGTGTTGATCGGCTGCTGTTTTCATTATTGGCCTGAAGGTTAAAGGCTATATGTTCTGTTCAACATTCTTTTGTTCTCCACATGATTTTGCTTCTTGTTTATCCTGGACAAAATATATAGTGGGAAAAGAGCTCATTCCAGTATTGCTGAATTTGCTGAATCATGGAAAGCGCACTTTACTCTCCACTCCAGCAGCCATATCCAACTTTTTATTACTCCATTGTTTCGTTGTTGCATTTATGCCTTCCTCCACCTCCTTCTTTGGTAGGAAAGGCAAACAGGGATTGTCATCAACTTGAACCATACTCAAAAATCAAGCCCCTAGGCAAGTCAGCCATCTCACGCACACACACACACACACACACACATACACAGGATATAAGCTGTCACGGAGCCAGCCAAATTCATAGAGTGCAGTCTGAGCAATGCTCTATACTTGGCCACTGGCTCACTGCATTCCCTACTTTCATCTGAGCAAGAGAGAGGGAGGGAGCGAGAGAATTGGGAGTGTATTGCAATTTGAAGGAAGCACAGAAAGCCATATAATAATAATACAATCAAAAAGACACACAGGGATTCATTATTTTCTATCCACACCAACACATTACCATTTATATCATCTGTGTCCAATGTCATAAGACACACTTATATCACCTGCAACTAATCTGGTACATCTGCTCTATCTAACCTGCATCTCTCTCGTCTCCCCTGAGGGATCAAGGCATCTGCCACAAGAAGAATGAAAGTGATGACAGACTCTGCAGGACTATCTTTAGAGAGACATGAATAACTTCTGCACAGATTTGAGAGCACGGTTGAGCTGTCAACAGTATAACAACTATCTCTGAGATTTTCTGAAAAGTGGATTCCAGCGTTGCGAGTGTGTGTGCACCGTATGAGCATTTGCGCTTGACTACATGTTTGGAGAGATTATTCTGAAGGAGAGGACATATCATTTTACTGTTAACACTCATAAACACACAACATTTTCCATTAACACACAGGCTTTTTAGTTCGCCATCGTACTATTTGAGGTATCTGTATCCTCCATCAGCTCAGCTATACAGGATTATGTGTGTGTGTGTGTGTGTTTAACAGATGTAATGGAGAGCGTGTATGTGCAAAGCAGCGGTTCTCAGCTGGTGGGCTGTTCAGGGGTGATATAAATAAATGTCAAAGTTTGATTTTTAGGACACTTTTGTTACTCTTATACATTAAACAATTTTGGTTTGGTTGCCATTTGATGTCCATTGTAAAGTCTGGGTTCTGATGCAAAACCAGCTGAGAATCACTGATGTAAAGTAGATTTTGTTGCAGACACCAAAGGATTGTGAAACAAGCCAGCTAAATGCTTGTTTGAATACACAAAAATATAAAAAAACAGAAAAGGAAAAAATCACCTCCGCCGGTGGATTATAAATGTCCTGAGCGTGGACTGTATGTACAGTACAGTATCATAATGGCTATTTATTCATTCAGAACACAGATGATTAGAAGATAATGTAGAAAGAGGAAAATGTATTTACAGTTATTTTGGGATTCTTATTGGATTTTTAGGCTTAAGCATAGCAGTACTTGTGCCTTCTCAGCCGATGTGATTTACAAGTTATACTTAGCTGCTTTAGTAAGCAAGCATCTGCTGAGAACATGACTATAGCTTGTTGATGTGAAACTGCATTTAAAATCATTTGAAACAGCATTTTATTTTTTTTTCTCTTTGAAAATAAATTCATACTTTTATTCAGCTAGGTCTAGGATGTATTCAATTAATCTAGTAAAGACATTTATAATGTTACAAAAGATTTCGATTGGAAATAAATGCTGTTCTTTTGAACATTCGGTTCATTAAAGAATCCAGAAAAAAATTATCACGTTTACACAAAAATAATAAGGAGCCATGACTATTATAAGAAATGTTTCTTGAGCACCAGTTAGCATATTATTTTCTGAAGGATCACGTGACACTGAAGACTGGAGTAATGGCTGCTGAACATTCACCTTTGACATTACGGGAATACATTGTAAAATATTTTCAAATAGAAAACAGATATTTTAAATTATATTTCACAATATTAATTATTATACTGTACTGTGCTTTGATCAAATAAATGCAGCTTTGGTGAGCATAACAAACCTCTCTAATGAGCATTACACATTTTAGCCAAATGTTATATACACTTTCCCCAATACGTTGACTTAAATGTTAAACACAAAGTGGTGAAAATAAAAACGGGGTATGAAGTAGTATACACACGGAAAGTGGTGCATGTTAAATGAGCAAGATTTGGCGTAAAGGGAGAAGGCAAACATTGTGTGAGGGGCAGAGCATGAAATTGGCTGCCCAGGGGCATGCATTAGATTAGAAACCTTAGCTCACAAACATACACTCACAGGCCAAAGCAAAGCAGACATGAAAATCAATCAGCCTTACATGGATTCAGACAAAGTTGGTGGAGTAAAAACCTGCACCTTAGAAAAGTTTTGTACTGATCACTAACAGACTATACACTCCACCATTTCAGTAAAGCAGGCTGGTTTGTGACGTGCACACACACACACACACACACACACAATAATTTCATCATGTGCTTTCCATTTTTTCCCTGCATTCCTCAGCTCTCAGGACCATGTGAGAACCATTTGCTCCTCAACGGCTGCCTGTTTCACACTACAATCAAAAGAAAGAAAAAAAAAATGCAGCACACTCTCTCTCTGACTCACATACAACCATTCCAAACTCTGAGTTTAGGGTAGTGTTTGTGGAAAAAGAGTCTTAAGACCTGGTAGAAGTATGAAGAACAGTCAATTACAGACATATTGATTACATATTTGAATAATAATGAATTATTGCAGTTGCTTTTATGCTAAAACAATTAATCCAAAATTGAAAATTGTGTCATCATTTACTCTCCCTCGTGTTGATCCACACCTATGACTTTCATTCTGTGGAACACACACAAAAAGAGACATTTTGAAGAACTTTTTTTTTTAGTCCTTGCAATGAATGTCAAAAACAACATTGGACATCACTGGCTTTCATTTTAAGGACAAAATTTTTTTTTTTTTTTACAAAATATTCTTTTATCTTCCACATAAGAAAAAACTTACTGCTTTGAAACAACATGAGGGTGAGCAAATGACAGAATATTTATTTTTAGGTGAACTACTCCTTTAAATCCACAACAAATATGAAAACTGTTCTCCTTTCACTTCTGAACGGAATAAAGTTGAAAAAGAATAGGAGTATTATTTACAACAACTTTAATTTGAAACAGAGCAAACATGAGTATAGAAGATATGAAAGAGAGACTAGTGGCTACAAATTCTAGATACTACACAGTACCAAATTTTGAAACAAAAAAACGTAGACTTGCTTAAATACAAATATATAATAATGTTGAAATACAGATTTTTACAAATGTTATGTACAATGTTTTAATTACATTTAACACAACTGCCTGCCGTATATTACATAGCAAGCTTTTGAGCTCTCCTCCCGCCATGGCTCTCATTGCTCTGTCGTTTGTTGAATTCCCAGCTGGTATCTCACTTTCCATGTTGAGTTTTTATGGCCAGCAGCTTATGAGAAAAAACAGGGGGGCAACAGAATGGGGGAGGAAAACATTTCTGCACTTGGTATCAAATTGGCCATGTTTGTTTGGGGAAGTCAAGTGGTCTACGTCCCATTTCTCTTACCACTTGAAAGTCTCTGACAGTCTAAAAATAAGTGTAACTGCTTTCAAAATACTGACAATAAAAGGCACTTTATTATGTTTTTGTAGTTCTAAAATCATTGTTGGCTGAAAATGTGGACCCCGATTTCCCGTTTCAAACGGTGGTCTCCCCTTGTCCGCCACTGGTCAATCGTGTGTAGAACTTCCTCCAAGAGTGCAGCGTCTTCCCCGACCAGATCCAGAATCCCGAAGTGATCCCTACAATGAGAGTCATGAGGTACTTGATCATGAAGACAGTGAAGTCGGGGGTCATGTGAGGAGCGGGTTGCATGGGGCACGGGATGGCCAGGCTCTTACAGTTCGTACTGATCCAGCTCTTCTCCCAGTGCTGCCTGAAGGCCTGCTCGTAAAAAAAGCAAGCGATGACGATGGTGGCCGGGACGGTGTAGAGAACCGAAAACACACCTATGCGGACCATCAATCGCTCCAGCTTCTCGGTCTTGGTGCCGTCGTGCTTCATGATGGTGCGGATGCGAAACAGGGACACGAAGCCGGCGAGCAGGAACGAGGTGCCAATGAAGAGGTAGATGAAGAGAGGGGCCAACACGAAGCCCCTCAAGGGATCCAGATTGTTCAGGCCCACAAAACAGACGCCACTTAACATGTCTCCATCGATTTGCCCCATGGCCAGGATGCTAATAGTCTTTACAGCCGGAACGGCCCAGGCGGCCAGGTGAAAGTACTGTGAATTGGCTTCAATAGCCTCATGGCCCCATTTCATACCAGCCGCCAAGAACCAAGTGAGAGACAGGATGACCCACCAAATTGAAGACGCCATACTGAAGAAATACAGCATCATGAATAAAATCGTACACCCTTCTTTCTTCGTACCTTGAACGATGGTTTTATAGCTGTCGGGAAAAAAGCTCTCGTTGCACACGACTTTGTCCCCAAGAAAGTAACCAGCGATATACGCAATGGAAACCATGGTATAGCAGCCGGACATGAAAATAATAGGACGTTCTGGGTATTTAAAACGCTGCATGTCCACTAAATACGTGGTAACTGTGAATAACGTGGATGCACAGCAGAGAGAGGACCAGATGAGGATCCAAATCCGGGCAAATTCAATCTCCTGGTCCGTGAAGAACATATAAGCCCCATGTGTTCTGGAGGACTCACATGGAGCACCGCAATCCAGCTCGCCCAGGAACTTATAACTGAGGTAGGAAGGCACTTTGAGCACTGACGGGCAGCGGAAGGGCTTGTCCGGCGAGGAGTACAGCTGAATGCTGGGCGTTCCTGGAACGGGCATGTGAACGGGCGACACTGTAGCCGCAGAGTCGTTCTGGCCCACACAGATGTGTCCGTCTCCCAGCACTGGGAAATGTTCACATCTCAGCCGCTCTGGCCACTGGAAGCCAAACTTGTTCATGAGGGCCTCGCAGCCGTGCTTTGCCCTCTCGCAAATGGAGCGGCATGGCGGGATGGCTTTCTCCAAAACCGTGCACACTGGCGCATACATGGAGCACAGGAAGAACTTGAGTTCAGGAGAGCACTGTACCTTGACCAGCGGGTAAAACTGGTGGACCTCCAGCCCAGCATCCTCTTGGTTGTAGTGTCCGACCAGATTTGGCATTATGGTTTGGTTGTAAGCGATGTCCGTGCACAGGGGGATGGTTATGGGCTGACAGAAACCGTGGTCGGGAACGGCTATCCCACTATCTCTGTGATACTGTCCAGAAGCCACGAAACAGCACGGCAACATCAGTGCCAAAAACAGACACAAAATTCCACTCGCCTGCATTGTCCCAGAAAGTTCCGCCTAACTTTCACTGAACACAACGGGAGTCCGCAAACTACGCTTTTGGCGACATGTTATTTGCTAATCGAAAACAAAAAGTTTCGCGAGCTAGTGTAAATCGCATACTTTGTGAGGAATATCTGTTGCGCGCAGGAGCGACTGCGTGACTTTTCCCCCTTTGTCCGTCAGACTGTTTCAAGTTCCCCCTGGGCTGCCTCTCGCTGACTTTGAAGGGAGCATGAGAAGGAGGAGGGATTTCGGGGGTCTTGAAACAGATTACTCTACCCTAAACCATAAACCCCCATCACAAGGTATTCAGACCAATTGAATCGCTCAAGACCCTATCAGTCATTTGAAAACATAAGAGCATTTAAAAAAAAAAAAAAAAAATTAAAAGATTTTATTTGGGTGAGAAGTTATGATATGGAAGAATGAGGGAACGTGAATTTGAAAATTTTCTTTTCTGAAAAACAAAACAAAACACGTCTTATACAAAATAACATCTATCTATCTATCTATCTATCTATCTATCTATCTATCTAGGAATATCTGTTGCGCGCAGGAGCGACTGCGTGACTTTTCCCCCTTTGTCCGTCAGACTGTTTCAAGTTCCCCCTGGGCTGCCTCTCGCTGACTTTGAAGGGAGCATGAGAAGGAGGAGGGATTTCGGGGGCCTTGAAACAGATTACTCTACCCTAAACCATAAACCCCCATCACAAGGTATTCAGACCAATTTAATCGCTCAAGACCCTATCAGTCATTTGAAAACATAAAAGCATTTAAAAAAAAAAAAAAAAATTAAAAGATTTTATTTGGGTGAGAAGTTATGATATGGAAGAATGAGGGAACGTGAATTTGAAAATTCTCTTTTCTGAAAAACAAAACAAAACACGTCTTATACAAAATAACATCTATCTATCTATCTATCTATCTATCTATCTATCTATCTATCTATCTATCTATGGATAGTGGTGACATCTTGTGGCAATGGGTTGTTAGTAACATTCATCCTATGTAATCGTTTTTCTTATTTTTTGCGTGATTTAAATTAAAATATATCACATTTAAAAAAAAAAAATTTTAGAATCTAGTTGGTTGGTAATACTGATGATAGTGATATATTAAGGATAAGAATATACAAACAAATGCATGTAGCTTTTATTTATAGTTTTGTAGTAGTGCCAGCTGTTCAGTCTGAATTAACAGGACATGATAGAAGACAAGGCTAATTAAGAAAGATAATGTTTAGAAGCAGAGCGAGAGAGAAATTAAATTAATAACTATTGTGAAATTAATTACCGTTTTTTTCATCTGCTTACACACAAAATCTTTACTTGTCACACACCTGACACTCAAACAGCAGAACCACACACCAAATCTGCAAAACCATACACTAATTCTCGGCCTTTGACTCAGTTTTCAATTTCATAAAAAACTTTTTGCAAAACACAACACACAAGTCTCTATGTAACACACAAAAATCTAACAGGAATTACTATTATGGTGTTTGCAAATGTTTGCTTTTGAGATGTGTTTGTGATCTTTTTCTATCTATCTATGGATAGTGGTGACATCTTGTGGCAATGGGTTGTTAGTAACATTCATCCTATGTAATCGTTTTTCTTATTTTTTGCGTGATTTAAATTAAAATATATCACATTTAAAAAAAAATTTTTTTTAAATCTAGTTGGTTGGTAATACTGATGATAGTGATATATTAAGGATAAGAATATACAAACAAATGCATGTAGCTTTTATTTATAGTTTTGTAGTAGTGCCAGCTGTTCAGTCTGAATTAACAGGACATGATAGAAGACAAGGCTAATTAAGAAAGATAATGTTTAGAAGCAGAGCGAGAGAGAAATTAAATTAATAACTATTGTGAAATTAATTACCGTTTTTTTCATCTGCTTACACACAAAATCTTTACTTGTCACACACCTGACACTCAAACAGCAGAACCACACACCAAATCTGCAAAACCATACACTAATTCTCGGCCTTTGACTCAGTTTTCAATTTCATAAAAAACTTTTTGCAAAACACAACACACAAGTCTCTATGTAACACACAAAAATCTAACAGGAATTACTATTATGGTGTTTGCAAATGTTTGCTTTTGAGATGTGTTTGTGATCTTTTGAATGCAGTGCTTCATTTTGCAAGAGATGTGAGGCATTTTGCATTTCGTGTGTGCAATTCTTGGATTTGTGTGTAACGTTTTGAAAAAAAGAGGCAAAGTTTTGAAGATGTGTGTAAGCAGTTGAAAAAAAACCTGTAATTGATTCAATTAATATAAATAAATCCCCGCGGCTAAAATACATGTGATATCATTTCTTCTGGAAATTTTCTTTTTTTAAATTCTTTTAAGGAAAATATATTCTTCCGTTACTAAGCCTGACTACATCACCCCTCGCGACCATTTGATGGATTCTGATTGGCTAATTGAAACGGTTTAGCCAATAGGAATGTGAGAGACTTTTTGTCGGCTCGAGACGTCAAACTCTTCGTCTTCGCTTCGCGGTCACAGTCGTGAAGAGACACGGGCGAGGTCGAGAGCGTATAAATTTAAGTGAAAGACATTTGTCGTCTTTAATTTATTTTCACAGTAAATCAGTTGACTAATTAGAACAATCGTGAATATTATATATTTATAATTTATATCGCTAATAATTTATAGTGAGAGCGGCCCTCTGCCTGCAAAGTTCATTGTCAATGGAGGTAAGTTAAGAGCTAATTCTGAGGAAAAACTTCTGACAAACTTAGTTCAGTTTTTCTGTCTGCTTGTTAAGTTAACTGAGTTACAGACATGATACAGTTTACCAGGTGTACACGTAACTTATTAAAATATTAATTAGCATAGTAAGAAAAGTAAAGTGCAGTGATATCGACTCATGTTTAACTATAAATTTGAAGTCAGTATGCCGTATCACCAGGGCAAAAGAAAATCCCCACAAGGCCTCATTTGACTGGATGTAAAACCTGTGTTTTTTGTCATGTCATTATTGCCCATGGTCATATAGTATAATTTTTACTCTTGTACTTTAAGGTTAATAATGCAGCGAAAAGCAAAATCAATGTGGATACAAATGGAGCAAGAACAGGCTTTGATCGATTTCATAATACAGGACCAGACTCCTTCTTTTCCACAAACAAGCCTCAGGTGAGAAAGGCCTCTTCAAATTGTGGCTTTTCTGCATAGAGAAATTTAAAAAGATAGTTATGATTTTAGTGTATAGATTAGTCAATTTAATTTCCTCGTATGTTTGAATGTGTAAGTAGTAATTGGAACTAACGTTACTATCTACTATTTAGAGGAAATGTCAGATGTCTATGGGTTTTTTCAAAATGTAAAAGATGTGAAGTGTGGTCTGTTGTGCGTTGCTAAGGTTTGCAAAATTAAATAACTCATTTTATATGAATTGCAATAGATATTTCAATAGATTTGTGAACTGGGCAGCATTTGTAATAACAGACTAATTAAATTGCATATTTTAAGGGCGTTCTTAGTTTTGCTTATTTTTACACCCGCAATTGTTTTTTTAAAAATTTGTTTTAAATGTATATATTTTATCCAATTAACAACTTCTTTATATGCCTTTTATGAACAAATGCTGTGTTCTTCAATTGCAGAATAGCTTCAGAGACGGCGGATTGATGTCATACAACCCATTCTTGGACTGCCCGGTGCAAGACTCTGCACCACTCCCTTACACAGTTTGGCCAACTCAGGAAGAAGACTGTAAATCAGTGTACTGGCCTCAAGTCATACCTAATAACAGGTTAGTTTTATTTTGACACATAGGCTATTAATAATACTGTAAAAAATGGATGTTAGATATTAACATGCTACTGTGAGTCAAAAGGGATTTGTTATTAAATAGAAAAATACTGTTCATCTTGCATAGAAATCTGGTAGATGCCAATAATTGTGGGAGTGAGGCTGATCTTTATGGATTAGTGTCAGACATCTTGGAAGAACCAGATTCAATGGACCCATACTCCTCATATGTCTCAGAGAAGTAAGCCCCTCTTGATTTATGTTACAGAAATTAACCTATATAATTATTACTAATTAAATAGGTTACTGATTATGTTGGGTACTAATTATTACTAATTAGTGTAAAGATAGCTAATTTCAAATTCAAATGAATTTAATAGTATTTAATGTAATTTTAGGGCTGTCAATGCAATTAAAAAAATGCATACTTTTATGAAATTTTACTTTTTAAATTTTAATTGCATGATTTTGTTGTTGATATCTCTTATGTAAAACTAAATAATAGGCACATGTGTAATTGTGAGGATTGCAATTTTTCTCTTACAGTATATTTATGCAACATTGCTCTTTACTCAAAAACTCAGAAAACATCAGATGTTACAGATTCTAAAACTGCATCCAAACTAGATACATCAATCATGGGAAATGCAAATACAGTTTAACAATATAATTGCAGTAACAAAAGGATTTTAAAACAAATTTGCATGCCTCAAGATATAGTCATTTGCCTTTAAATGACTTGACATTTGTTGTGCATTCTGTTTGTGTTTGATTTATAAATAATTAACCTGTAAAGAGACATTTTTAAAAGGGTGCTCCACTATAGCGACTTTTGTATATATCAAATTATATGAATGACCTTACAAGTTAAAAAATAAGCATATGTTAAAGGGTTAGTTCACCCAAAAATGAAAATTAGCCCATGTTTTATTCACCCTCAAAGCATCCTAGGTGTAATATGACTTTCTTCTTTCAGACCAGGGGTGTCAAACTTATTTTCACTGAGGGCCACTTCAACATTATGGCTGCCATCAAAGGGCCAGTTGTAACTGTAAGACTGTACAAATGTTACTACTCCTTAATATATTGTTAAATAACTGTCTCTTTATTTTATTATTATTTATTTAATTTACAAATATTGCATGCATTTGCATAGATGTAAAATATATATGTAATTGCTCTGTTATTTTAACATAACTCCTTTTAATTTGTCAGGTTAAGAAATCCAAATTACTCCATAAATCAAAGTAAATAAAGACAAGTATCATCAAACACAGGTGGTCAAACCTAATTTCACCTGAGGGCCACTTCAACATTTGGCTGCCATCAAAGGGCCAGTTGTAACTGTAAGACTGTACAAATGTTACTACTCCTTAATATATTGTTAAATAACTGTCTCTTTATTTTATTATTATTTATTTAATTTACAAATATTGCATGCATTTGCATAGATGTAAAATATATATGTAATTGCTCTGTTATTTTAACATAACTCCTTTTAATTTGTCAGGTTAAGAAATCCAAATTACTCTATAAATCAAAGTAAATAATAAAGAAAAGTATCATCAAACACACGTCATTACATTAACTTTGTTAAAAACTTTTTTTGTTACATTTATGGCACAACAAATAATTGTGAGCTGCTAAGAATGTGTGACAGATATGGCATGAGCCCGGTCTCATGAAAATGCGTATCAATAGCACGATTTTCTGTTTCTATTTGGCATGCGATTTATACGCAGAAATTGACTTTTGCGTGCATATGATACGCACTTAAAGTACTAAAAAAGTACTTTTTAATTTTCATAATTTGCAATGAACGTATATAGTGCCACAGTAAATAAATAAATTCATTAATAATTGTTTGCAATTCAATTCACATTTATTTGTATAGCACTTCTCATGACACACTGTTGAGAAGCAGCTTCACAGAAAATGAACACTTCTATATTACATTTAGTAGTTTACAGCACTTTTAATAAAAAAAAATTGCACAAGTCAATCTGCGATACCAAACAGGAACACAGGGGAACACCAAAAGACCACTAAACGAGCTACCTTGACCTGACTGATCCAGATTTACTAAACCACTGACTACTGCATAAACTAAAATACCTTCAGCCAGCATCCAGTATAAAACACTCGTGCTTTTAAGCCAAATAGCTTGCTGATTTCTTTTTTTTACTGACATCTGTACGTGAGTACTATTATCCCCGCCATCTCTGATGACATCGGCCGTGTTTTCTCTGCATTAGTGCTGTTTTGAACTTACTGTTTGAATGCATTCACTTACTGGATCCTTAGACTTTCCTGGACTTTACCGGTTGATCTGATCGCAAAAAACCTGCTTCTTTTTTTATTTTTATAATGTATTGTTTTCGTTAAAATTTACTGATTTAAATGAGCAATTATTATTTTATTACTCTACGCTAGGGTGACCACCTGGCTATAGGTTTGGGTACCGAAACCCGGTACTTATATGGCACCGGTATGTAAGTAAGTATGTACTAGAACCGAATCAGAACGCAGATTTCGGTTCCATGCCTGAGCGATTGATTGAAATATTTGTCCTCTGGTTCTCCGAAACGGACATAAGAAGCATCATCACCAGGCTATTGTAAGAATAAATGAAACTTGTTTTTATGCTTTCAAATAATTAGACATGCTAAATCAGAATTTGGTAACAATAAAACATAAGGTTGGAAAAAATGAAATATTTCATAGGGCCCTAAACATGTAATTTTTGTTAAACTTTTAATAAATTGATGTTAAATTGTTTAAGTTTCATGATTTTAATTAATTAGACATGCTTTCTGATTAATACAATTTAACCATTAAAAAGGAGTCCATAAAAATAAAAAAAAAACGGACCCCATCCCCCAAGCCGTAAACCTAGGGGAAACACTGCTATAGGTAGCCTAAAAAAACATGTTTTACATGGAGTGGCCATGGGTTGACTCATGGACACATGGTGGCCCCAGGTTGAGATTACATAACCTGCTGAATATTTACTTCATCTCAACAACTCTGCATTACTGATGGCCAATCTATCATTTTTGGGGGAATTATTATTATAATTTTTTTTTTTTACTAAGTATCAGTTCAGGCACCGTTTAGGCACGGAACCGTTTTAAAAGTATCGATGTGGCACCGGTATCGAAAAAACCCCAAATGATACTAGGGCTGAACGATTTTGGAAAATAATCTAATTGCGATTTTTTTTACCAATATTGCGATTGCGATTTAATATGCAATTATTTTTTAAAGCTCTTTATGAGCTTTAAATCATTGTATAGTATGACCAACACACTATTAGATAGATTAAACATAAATGTCCTTTTCTGTAGGCCAGGCTTATATGTTACCATGAAATTAGGTGATGCATGAATTGATATGAATGACATTTTTATTTAACAACTACAATCACAGTACATTGACTGATTTGTTGAACTTCCAACCTTGTAAGCATGTAATACATGTAATAACATAAAGCACTGACAAATAAGTCTGGTGTAAACATTAATATGAAAGTCAGTAACAAATCAAACAAATCACAGTAGAAATATAAAAACAAATCTGTTGCTTTACCACACTACTTTAGGTAATTCAAAGTCAATGTAATAAACATATGTAAACATGTGGACTGCACTAAACACTCTCTGTTAACTTTAACCACTGTTAACCACTTTGAGAACAGTGGTTCTCAAACTTTTTTGGTCAAGCCCCCCTTTAAACCTATAAAAAAATCTTATTTAATTTAAAAAACCTACAGGGAAAAAAACACCTGCATCACTTGAAACATTGAAAAATAGCATAGAGAGAATAACATTATTATTCTCTCTCTGTTATTTATTTATTTTTTGTGGGTTTCATGCTGTCCGCTAAGGCATAGGACACACACAGGCTTTCCTCCTCACCAACGACATTAAACACAGTGTCTACACCGGACGCGAGCGGCAAAATACAGCAGAAACCATTAATCAGTGACGCTGTGTACACTGGATGCAGCGCGG